ATAACTTTAAAAAGCAAAGCTTTGTTTAAATTTTATTTGAAACAAGTTGGATTGTTTTTTTAGCGAAAGTTACAAAAATTTTCCGGTTTTTTTTGAAACACACTGTATAAAGTAAATTACAAAATCAAGAAAATAAGTATGTTTTAAAATTCATAGATGTATAATTAGGATATCTACATTCCTATCACTGTAAAAAATAAGAATGTTTTAATTGTAAAATAAGTATATTCATATATTCATACATATTTTGCAAATAATTAGTGAATCATCTTTTTTGATTTAAGTATGTTTTGTAAAAATTAAGTAGAAATAGGAAATAATATCTAAACTTTTTATATGGCGGGGAGATGATGTTATTAATCTTAGTTTTGAGTAGAAGACAATGAGTTTTTGGCTAGTCTTTATGAAGCTTGGTAGATCCCGGTGGTGTCAATACTGATGTTTCACATTTTGATTCATTCATTCAATTAGTTAACATATTTATTCAATGCATATCATTTTTTTCTTTTAGTAGGAAAATTAGGTTATTTTATAATGCATTATATACATATTATTTAGGAACCTTGCTTATTTGCATTGCTGACATGATTGGAGCGAATGGAACAAATGAATAATTAAATAGTTTAAATTTATTTTCCTTTTGTATGTAAAATAAAGTTAATTGTGTTAAAGTTTATATGTATTTTTATTGGTGGCAACTTTTGCTAGGATTTTCCGTCAATATTATGACAAAGATATTTATGAAACTCATTGAAACAATCTGAGGTAGATATATTTGTATGGATTAATATATTAAAACAGCCGTCACTATAGTTACTGATCTATGAGTATCTTGTTTTATTGATGTAGATCTATTATTTATTTTGAAAATATTTCTATATGGCAGTATGGGCTTATTATCAAAAACTTAAGATGGATGAAAATTACTCCAAATTCTTGTTATGTTATTTATTATACTTATATTCCAGCTTACACTGTATCTCCAGTACCAACTTATGATTCAGCACTTCATCTCAAATTGACAGAAAAATTTATGAAGATAATAACACAGAAGAAAATTGATACTCAATCTTCAATTTTTGATGTTTTTACACTGCATTTTTCAAATTACTGATATATATTATGTAATTTATTTTTCTTGGGTTCTTATTATCCTCTAAATAAAAAGTTCAATAAATATATATTAATATATATATTTTGTAGTTATTTTCTATTGATTTACGATTTCAGAAAAGTTTATAAACAGTTTCATTGGTTGAAAATTATCATCATCTCCATCACATAATTCTTTATCAATTTCGTCTAAAACCTCTCCTATACAAGCTTTCTGATCACTGTTCAGTTGTTCATCAACTACTACTTTATCATAAATCTAAAATACAAAAAAAATTTATTTATTTGTTTAATAGATGAATTTACACATATTAATAATATATTTATTTTTACCTGTGACATTATTTGAACAGCAGAAAATCCTGATGCAATAATATTATCTATCATTTAAAGGCATATAAGCAGTCTCAATCAATTTGTCAATAATATCATCTGGCACAACCCATTTTGAAAATTTTCAGCAAATAGTACCAAAAATATTAAAATTAAAAATATAATAAATCAATAATTAATTTACCCCCTCCGATTTCTAAAATTGAATTAGCAGTAATTTTTTCATTTTGATGTAATCTGGCTGTGCTTTGAAGAAACATTATGGATTTTCTCAAATCACCATTAGATATCTTAAGAATCTCATCTATAGCCTATTTGGTAATTAAAGGGAATACATTAATCTAAATATTTCATCAAGCATTAACTTTGTATGTATTTATTTCTTTAATAATAATAGTATTATCTTGGGATCATAATTAATATTTTCATTTTCACAAATATGTTCAATTCGTTTTTTGGCACTTGAAATATCCAGTGGTTTAAACCGAAATTTTGCACAACAAGAAGTCAATGGTTCTATTATACTTTAAACAATTTTTTTATAATGTATATTTATATTTTTTTCAGGGGAAACAATTAGTGAATTTAATTACCGGCTAACATAATTATAAATCAAACAGAAACGAGTGATTCTAGAATAGTTTTCCATTATGTGTCCTAAAGCTGTTTGAGCATCATGTGTTAATGAATCAGCTTCATCCAGTATAATGATTTTGTAAGGTGGACAAGGATATTCACTTAAATTTTTTTTTCCAGATCATGTTAAAACCATTACTCTGAATTTTTAATCTAATAAATTAATTGCTTTCATTAAATAAATTCTAATCACCTTGCATGCCAACTAACTATTGCACATGCAAAATTTTTTACCTTTTCCCTAATAACTTGAATTCCACGTTCATCCGATGCATTCAATTCCAAAACATGACTTTTCATTAATTCTGGGCTGATGATAAACCAACCATAATTATGTAAATAAACATAAAAGATTCATGTATAATTTGATTCAAATATACAATTTTTTTTTTTTACCCAAACAATTCATGAGCTAAAGCTAATATTGTTGAAGTTTTTCCAGTTCCTGGAGGTCCATAAACAACATATGTGGTAACTATTTATTTAAATTGATAGATTCAATTAATTTATATAAAAAAAAATTTATACAAAATGTGTCTTTTAAACAAATTTCTTACATTTTGTGACTTGAATGTTGTTTTTAAAACTGCAATAGTTGTTCTTGTGAGCTAACACTATCAATGTCTTTTGGGCGACTTGAAAAAAAAGTAAATGTTAATATTAATTATATTTTATCCAATTGTCCTTTATTTTACATTAAAGGTAATGTAACTCACTATTTTTCAACCCATGATCGTATACTCTCATTATTATTACTCATTTTAAAATGAACAACTAAGATGGTTTTTTTTGCAGTGTGAAGAGGTGCATGAATTTGGAATCTGCGTCAATTTGAAATTCACGCGCGTGAATTTCAAATTAGCCAATCAGAATTTTGTATTCAAACACCCACACAAAATTTAATTAATATTATTTTTTTTTTTGTTCAGTGAGGTCTGATTAGTTTATTTATGTTAATGATTTTCAATATACATGATTATATATATCTATACATTTATATTAGAACA